GCCTTGAAGATAACCAAGTATCAAGAGAAGATCTCCCAGCTATACAACAGGAGGGTCAAGACTCGAGAATTCCGGATAGGCGACCTGGTCCTCAGAAGGGTAACGGCCAATACCCGGGATCCAACAGAGGGAAAGATGGGACCTAACTGGGAAGGGCCTTACAAAGTAATATCAATCGGGGGCGCCGGGTCGTATGGATTAGAAGATATGAGTGGAAGACCTGTAATACGACCATGGAATGTTATGAATTTGAAGAAGTATTACTTTTAAAGTACTCTCTCTCAAGAACCCGCCAAACAAAAGACAAAGGGCATGGCCCTGGGGACAGAGTTCAAGAACTCTCGCCCCCGAAGTACATACAGGAGCAAGCCTCCTGCAAGGGTATGGCCCTGGGGACAGAGTTCAAGGACTCTCGTCCCCGAAGTACATACAGGAGCAAGCCTCCTGCAACGGCATGGCTCTGGGGACAGAGTGCAAGGACTACTGTCCCCAAGGCAAAAAATGGAAACGAGCATTCATAAAGAAATGGTCCTGAGAACCAAACACAAGCACCCCAAGTCCCCAGAGTAGATACAAAGATCTCGCCTCCGGAACGGGCCAGCACGCCCCGAGGACAGTTCAAAGACACTTATGATTTATTCTACACAGAAGTAAAGAAAAGCAAAAACAATACTGTACACAAAGAAAGTAAAGGGAAAGCATGCTATTTATTTCCAAAAGAAATAGGGGCTTTGCGTCCCCAAAAGCTACAAAAGGAAAGCAAAAGGGGTACAAAAAAGGGGAAATGAAAAGCAGCTTCATCGGGCTCCAGGCACCTCCAGAACTTCGGCCGAGGGCGAATCAGCGATAAAAGGTTGGGAAGCTTCTGGAGCGGGCAGGAGAAGAACTTCGGCAGCAGGAACAGCTGGAACAGTTTGAGCAGCTTGAGGTTCAGGGGCAAGGTCGGACGGAGCGTCCTCGGACAAGTCCACTATCACCGTCTCGGGAGCATCAGCCGAGGTTTGCATCGGCGTAGGGGCTTCATCCTCGGCAGCAACCTGTGCTTCTGCCTGCTCCATCTCTGCCGAGGGCACATACTTGTGCACTTGGAAGAGAGGGGAGTCTGACGGGACTCCAGCAGCCTGGAGCGCCTCGTCCCACCCTTTCTTGAAGAACTCTTTGCTATTTTCTTCAAGAGCGGGGAGCACGTCATCGGCAAACTCCTCCAGAAGTTGTTGCTCCGACTTCCGGTTCAGCTCCTCGGCTCTGATCCTATCTAGCTCCTGGGTAAGGGCCAGGCAGCTTTCCTCGGAGCCCACTGCCCTCTCCTCCGCCGCAGAGAGCCGCTGCGTTTGCTCAGTAATCCTCCTCTCAGCATCGGCAAGTGCGGCACTTAGCTTCTCAGCGCCCAACTTGGCCGATTCAGCGTCCTTGAGGAGCTGCTCTATTTGGGCAGCCTGCCCCACCAGGGTAGAATCCCTGGCAGCAACATCTTCCGTTGCCCGAGCAAGGGCAGCTTCCGCTTCTGCCTTCTGATCCTTGGCCCTCTGAAGATCCATCCTGGACGCGTGGTACCGGCCAGCAATGATAGAAATCTGCTGGGTAGCCTGTAAAGGAAGGAAAAGAGTGTTAAAAACACAAAAATAGAAAACGAGAGTGAAGGGATCAAAACAGGAATAAACTCACCACCAGGGAATTCTGGATCATGGAGCGGAACAACACGTTGGTTGATCGCCCCCTATGAGCCTCCATGTCGGCCTCGAAATGCAGTGTCTCACTCACTGCATTAGCGACATGAGGATCCGACAGAATAGAATCATCGACCCTGATCACTCTGTTCATGTGATCAGTGGCTCGGGGATTCCACTCTGCGGCCTCCCCCCGAGACGGAACAGGAGGAGGGGTTTGCTGCTGCTGCTGCTGCTGCTGCTGCTGTTGCTGTTGTCGGGGCTGCTGTTGTTGTTGCTGTTGTGGGGGAGCAGGCGGTAACCCACGATCCCTCCCGCTTTGAGGTTGAGCGGGAGATGCCCTGGGTCCTCGGCTGAGGCCGTCATGCCGATGCTTCACCCTCCTCTCTTCTTCCACCTGAGGATCCCGGTCTCGCACCTGACCCTGACCGGGAGCCCTCGAAGAATTGGCGGAACTGGTTCCTGCCGGAGTACCGCCGGTCGCCCCTCGGCCTCTCCCGGCTGCGAGGGATTGCCTCTGCCTAAGAAACCCCAAATTGATGCGTGGGGTGTTGGACATCGCTTCCTCGAGAGCGTCTTCGGCGTCCAAAGTTTGGAGAATTTGAAAATCCGGCCACAGGTCGCCTCCCGAAGTCCCCACCTCGGCGTCCGAAGGAGCAACGTCCTCTCTGACCCCGACCTCAGCAACTCCTTCTACCTCTCCCTCTGAAGCCCGATCCGGGTCTTCCTCCAAGTTCTGCTCGACCTCTAACCTCGCCGCCTGATCAAAGAGCTCTGACCACTGTGAAGGCTCGAAAGGTTGAGGGAGCTGTGAGAACTTCTTATACCCGGGGGTATAGTGCAGCAGATTATGGGCAGCTCGGCCAAATCCGTCGGCGCCCGTGAAACTCCAAACCGTTATTAAGTCGGCAAAATTGACCAGCGACCGAGGGGGTGGAGCTGTTTCCCGAGAAGGAATACCTGCACAACAAAAAAGATTGTCATAAACATGAGAAGTCCCAAGAAACAAATAAAAAGACCCAAAGGAACCGACGTACTTGTCGTTCTCCATTCCCGAGGGCAAAATAGGTCATTGTACTCGGGACCGACACCCCTCTCCCAACATCCCTTGAAGATCAAGATGTCGTCCTTGTACCCCTTGTCCGAGTCAGGAAGATGGGTTACAAGGTACATAGAGGGGTCCCTGGCTTTGAGGTAGAAATGTTGGTGGGGCATGACTCTTAGGAGAGAGTAACAGAAAAGGAGGTCGTTGAGCCCAATATTCACCCCGAGGCGCCTATTGAGCTCTAGGACCCCCATAATTATCCGAAAGACGTTGAGGCAGCATTGCCCGGGGAAGAGACGGAAGCGAGACAGGAACTGAAGAAGCAGGGGGGGTAAAGGAAACCTAATGCCACCCTCTATGATGGCCTTGGTATAGAAAGGCATGGCATCCGTGGCCCCGAAGGTAGGAGAGTACAACAAAGGGTTAAAACCCACTACGTCCACGCTCGGAGGGATGCCATACTTCGCCCTGAACCTATCAATCTGTGCCTCGCCTGTCACCTTGTATTTCCCTGACCCCGAGGGACCAGCCGATGGATTCTCGGGAACAGGGCGACGACGAGGCATCTCTAAAAGAAAGGGAAGGAAAAGGTGTTCTCTCTTGAAAACCTGAGGAAGTTCCCCGAGGGTTTAAATCAAGACGTACCGACCGGATGACACCACTGTTCAAATCGGAAAACAAGAAGGCTAGGAGGACGATAAAGAAGAAGGTTGTGAAACTCACCAGAAGACGTCGGAAACGGAGTTTTTCAGGAAAAACTTTGAAAATGACTCGCACCGGAAGGACCAGGAGTCAACAATGGGTTTACTGACTGTGATTTTAAGAGAAGATGCTGTCGATGATGGCTGAGGAAACAAAAACTCCGGCGAGCAGATCAGAAAAGGCGTATTCTGGGTCAGAGATCGGAATGGCAAAACGATGGAAACCGGAGAAGAACCCCCTTTATATAGGGGGGAAACTGTCATCATTGGGCGGGAGAACCAAAAACAGCGCATTTAATGCGCACGACATCCCAAGACGGGGAAAGCTGCTCGAGGCCATAATGAAGGACGGATGGCAGTTGGAAAACCCTTCGTCTCCTTACAACGCGTGTCCTCGGTGTCAGAAGATCGAAGGCTGGGGGGCAATTGATGGGACTCTTCTGAAAAGCCCTAAGATGATGACACGTGTCCTCGGGATATTTTGGAACAGTGTTGCCCGGATGTAAGCACCATCGGCGAAGAGCGCCCTTTACCCCGAGGTACCTCTCATGTAGGATCACACATTCGGTATATTATACAAACAAACACGTGTCCTCGGTCAGACGTGTACCTCGGGGACACACACCCCTGGGCCCCGAGGTGAGCCTTTCCTCGGCGCCGAGGGTCACTCCATCCTGGACGCTTCCTCTACTCCCGGATAAAGCTACTGACATACTGGACATCAGCCTATGCCAGTATGGATTATTCATCATGACCTCTTCTTACACAAGTAATGTCAGAACGTGCTGGAATACCGACGTAACAGCCAATAAGGGATGGACGCGTGGCAAATAATGTCACATCCGAAGCAGACAAACCGCATGCCGTTGCTGACACGCGACTTGGGAAAGCAAACAATTAATTGCACCCTTCTGTTGACGAGACCGCATTCAATGCGGTAAGGTTCGGATATGAAAGGCAATAAATGCTCCTATTACAGAGCATTTATTGCATCCTTCCCGAAAGGAGCATATTGTACCGTCGGCGTCCCGACGACTCAGCATTGATTGCTCGGGACCCCGAGCAATCAATTAGAGAAGACATTCCTCATCAAATGATTACACACGCTACCTGTGCCTGATGATTACCTACTGACCACACTGACAGCAATCATGATCTTCTAAGGTATAAATACCCCTCCCAAAAGACAAAGCGGGTATGCAATCACAAACTCTCAACTACGAAATATCCTTCTCAAGTGTTTTCTCCTTCCTCTCTCTCATTCAAAGACTGACTAGACCGTCGGAGGGGATACGCCGGAAAACACTCCGGCGCCCTTCTAACTCGTTCTCTTTTGTCCCAGGAAATACCTTTCGCACGTACAGGATCGTTCCTTCTTTCCCAGGATCGTAAGCTGTTTCGAGCAGTGTGTTTGGCCACTCAATCGGCTCGCCCAAAGTTCACCAGGGGAGAGATCTGTTCCCAATATTTTATATATATCGTGCAGGATCAAGCCCGCACATTTACGTACATTGTTGAATAGACAACAACATATATATCCATTAATACACATATGTTTACATGCTGAAAGGTATATAGTGCATACACTCACACAAAAGGAAGGAAAAAAGAAAAGAAAAAGATGATAGATTGTACGAGCAATACTATATATTCTCCAATTTTGGTTGGAAAAGAATAGCCAACACCGGGGCTGTGACCTGGCACAGTTGGTCGGAAATCGTCGGTGTTTCCGGCAACAGAATGGTCGACACCTGGAGCATTTCCTAGTGCGTTTGGCTTAGTATCAATATCACCATGTCCTTCACCGGGGCTACTGCCTGATCTAGTTGATCGAAAATCGTCCTTAAAAACTGCTGCTGAGGAGCAAAATTCAAGATTTTGAGCCAAATCCAAGATTTCACCGGGGCTGTGACCTGGCATAGTAGGTCGGAAATCATCGGTGTTTCTGGCAACAGAATGGCCAACACCTGCAGCATTTCCTAGTGCTTTTGGTTTAGTATCAATATCATGATGTCCGGCGAAAGCATGGACAACACCGGGGCTATTACCCGGTGTTGTCGGCCGAAAATCATCCTTCAAAACTGCTGCTGAGGAGCCAAGTCCAAGATTTTGAGTATTTTCCACCGGTGGGGAAACTTCTTTCTTTGATTTTAAGTCCCTACCCTCAGTAAATAGAGTTTCATGGCAGGCAATTACTGCAAGAAGGAAAGCACACTAACAGATAGTTTGAAGTTTGGCCATGGGAAAATTAAAAGGAGAAAATTAGTCGAAATATGTGTAAATTGACCTAAAAATACCAAATCATTAAAAAAAAAAAAAATTTACTGTGGGTCTCGAAATAAAATGGTTTAGCAATCAATTTAATGATAGTAATATATTAGATTCTGAAGTTAAGTATCCAAATAAGTAAAAGTAAAATATTATTTTAGAGAATAATACAGACGGTGGAGGTTTTTAGTATATCTTTGAACCATGGGTATGTTAGTGCGTAGCTTCCGATGGCTAGTGGCCTACAGTAAGACTTTCAACAGCTTGTCAGCAACCAACAAGCCCATGCAACGTTCACGAGGAGGACAGCATGCAGAGATCTTATCTTAACAGTTAAAAGTGGGTTAAATTAACATATGCACTACTATGTACATATAAATTTGGATGGTTTTTAGTCATGCAACTTTCTTGTACTTTTTTTAATCTTTCTGCTTAGGTAGGTGTGTGTTCATTCAAATTTTTACTACATTTTAAACATCAAATGAAATACTATATAAGGAATGATATTTGAACCTAATTTATTGACTTAATTTGATAACCTAATTCATAAGTTTTAATGTTTGAATTGATTGTGAGTCCCTTAAAATATTAAAACTTAATATTAATCAAATCGTTACAATTAAACTACTAATTCACTATTCAAAATTTTAAAAACAATAAACTACAAAAGTACTAAAAAATTGAATTGAGAAATATATATTATTTATGATTAATCATAATTTTTTAAACTATAACGTTAATTCGTTGAAATAATAATTTTTTTTGTTCACTCATATGAGATTGAATTATAAATTAACTAATTTAGTTCCAAATCTATTGTTGTCTCCAACTTCTTTGGCGCTACACTACCTTTTATGTAGTTTGTCTTAGATCTTTTTACATTTTACTTTAAAATTAATCTGATAATATTAACAACTCAATTTTAATAGAAAAAATATGTCTCTAGGAGTGTATTGGAGTGACTTCTAAATATTATTTTTCATAAGTACTTTAAAAAAAATAATAATGTTTGGAACTGCCCCATCAATACTTCTACCACCACCACCATCGTCGCCGCCACCACCACCACTACTATCGTGACCCTACCATACCCACTACTCCACCACCACCGTTGGCACTACACTACCACTACCACCCCCGCTACCACCACCACCACTACCAACACCACCCCCGCTACCACCACCACCACCATCCCACCACCTCCATCACCACTATCACAACCGCCCCACCACCACCATCCCCACTACTATCGTTACCACCACCACCACCGTTTACTGCACCCTACATCATTATCACTGCTATTGCACCTTACCACCACTACCACTTTCTCACCATCATCACAACTACAATCACAATCGTCATCCACCATCGATTGCTACCATTGTTGTCCATTGTCACCTTCCACCACCGTCGTCATCTTATTTTTATATTTATTACCATTACCATCATCATTCCACTACCACCGTTAGCACCTATTACCACCATTGTTGCCCACCGTCATCCACCACCAATTGTTGTCGTCCAACAGTCACTGTCACCCACCCCCACCACACCTACCCCTACCAATTACCACCACCAGTCATTGCCCACCATTGCAGCTACCCACTGTCACCTATCCCCACCACACTTTCCTTCGTTGCCATTATCCACTACCCATCACACAATTGCCTAGAAAGCACCCATCATCATCCACCACCACGATCGTCACCGCCCACCACAATCGTTGTCGTCCCACCACTACCACTGCTAACCACCGTCACCTAAAACCCACCACCATCATCACCATTGCCACCCACGGCTATCACTATCACCATAGTCGTTGTCACATATCACAACCATCACCATCTTCCATCATCACCACTGTCACCCACCACCATAACCACTGCCCACCACTACTACAATCAGTTCTTAAATTTCTTTATGTTTATGATTTGATTTTGAATGTGAATATAAATATATTTATTGTTCATTATTTTTTTTTATTATTTCATGCTATCAGATACGAGGAATAACTAATATATATATATATATATATATATATATATATATATATATATATATATATGTATATATATATATACATATATATATATACATA